GTGTGTGTGTGTGTGTGTGTGTGTGTGTGTGTGTGTGTGTGTGTGTGATGGTGTGTGTGTGTGTGTTTGTGTGTATGTGTGTGTGTGGTATTCAGACTCACTCTGATAATGCAGCTGGAAGGTGCCTATGCTTCCCTCCAGCACTGAGCCGTAGTAGACAGACAGAATGTTGGTGGGACTGCGGATCACCTGACCTTCCACCAGCAGCGTGTGATTGGCCAGTACCAGCAATGCACCTTGCTCATCTACACCTCTGATGGACAGTTGCTCACCATCTGACAGGTTCACACTCTTCACCTGTACACAAGTTCATGGGAGAAAATGAAGATATCTGTGAGGGGCTGATGGTTTGAGCCACTTTGGGCACCTCACATATGAGGCAGCAAGCAAACTCCACCAAGAAAGTTAAGGTGAACCTACAACCTCTTTCCTGTGAGGTGACAGCACTGTGCCAACCCTGTTTGACAGAACCTCAGTTCCAAAATGACCAGAGTTGCCATGATCACCACTCTCTGCCACCTGCCACGCCTACTTATCCACCTGCACGCTCTATTAACGAGCTCCATCCACACCAAGTCCTCTGCCAGATTATCAAACCATTACTGGTACTAGATGTCCAGCGCTTCATTAATGTTCAAGCCTGATTCTCTTTTCTTGACCTCATGCCCGTCTCTTGGATTCACCACCCTGCCTGCTCCATGTCTGGTTTTGTTCTACTCTTCTTACCTGGTAATGACTACCCTTTTTGCTCTTTGGATATTGGACTAAGGATTACCCTCTGGATTTATTCTTGGACCTCAGACTCCCTGTGCTTGACCCCTGCTTCGCTTTTCGGACCACGACTTAAGATTTCCCCCTTGTCATAACTATTCACAGCATTAAAGGCCTCCCTCTGCAACTGCTCTCTCTGAGAAGGTTAGTGGCTGTTTTCTGTTTTCAAGCAAACTTCCTGAAAGATTCAGCCTACTAACGATTGTATCTCTGCAGACCTGTTCCTGTGACTAGATCCAGACTCCCACCAGCAGCGTCAAAACAATAAATTTGTTTTACCGTTCTTGTTGTCTGCCTGAACTTGAATCCAAAAACAAGGTTCTTGTCAAAGTATCTCTTTAAGTGTTTGCTGAGCATACAGAAGTGTGCTCTACAGCACCAAACTGGAGCTAAGATTAGAGTTGCATTAGGGCCCAAAAAGTCCGACCTAATCTTGTGCCAGCCCATAGCCATCATTTCCGAATCCCACCCAACCCAACAAATTAACAGTAGTTACAGGTCCGAAACCAGACCCCCCCCCCCCCACAACATTTTTAATTAAGCTTTGACTACTTATTTAATTATTAACGGCCGGTGGATGTGCACTGCTGAATAAAAGGGGTAGAAGGTTGGCGCTGAGGAGGAGTTTGTCCTTTCATGGCCGTCAAAGCACATTAAATCCCTGCTTCTCCCTGCATTCTGCATTATTCAGACATAGACCCTGCTCTGACATGTCTGCTTTGGGATCTCACCTGTTTGGGCCATTGGCCGCACGTGTCCGCTGAGTGCAGCGGCTGAATGAACATCCATTTGAGCTTTGATAGATTGCTGCCTGGCAGTACAGTCCCATCTGAAGCTTAACTGAACTTTTTACCTCTTTCAAAGCCGGTCAGCACACGGTCAAATGGCTGCGTGCGGCTGGTGATTGTATGGCAAGCCACGTTGCCATATAATTGGATCATCAGCTGCGCTCGTCCACTGACGCAATCAAAAGCCCGACTCCGACCCGGCCCGCCCATCTAGCACATTATTATGGCCCGGCCCAACTCGAATTAGCGCCGGGCTGGGCTTCGGGCCTGGGTTAGAAATAACAACTGTAGCTAAGATGTAGGCTGTGATGCTCATTAGACATGTTCAGAAAGAAAACAGATGGACTGATAGAATGCAGAGTGGCTGTAGAACCAACAACATTGTAGTTAGTGAACAACAGATGTTGGGACTTTTCAACTTTCACCAGGAAAAATATGAAAGAAAACATAAGAAATTAAATGTTTATTTTTACACACGCAAAAAAAGAATAATTAAAACACTAGTTGGGCATCATTGCAGTATTTTCTTTCTTTCTTAGTTAAGTTAACTGTGTAACTGCTGATTAAAATGAGGTGTTATTATTGAATGCAGTATGTTTTAAAGTTAAAGTTTGAAGATGTAGCATACTTGCCATGCTCTGCTGGTAAAAGGAAACGCAGGTTCTCCCAAGCCAATTGTCAAGGTTTATTTCATATTTAGGTTTGTAGTCTGTCAAGATATTGATAATTATTCATCAACATGCAGAAATAATGAATTCTCGGGTAAAACTGAGTGAAGTCTGGAACATTTGGTCTGTTTCCTCACATGTAAAAACAAATTTGATGCACAAAATGAAATATGTTTCATTTCATTTAGAGTCAAGAGAAATCATATTTCTGTACATTTTTTACTTTAGGTCAACACCTGAAGTACCTACAAGATTATATAAACTAATCGTAGCATTTGTAGACAGCACTTTTAAACACAGAAAACACAAGCTTAGATTATTCATAACATTTTAGACATGTTTAGAAATTTTTTTTTTTTTTTTTTCAAGAGAATGACTGAAAACATTTAGATGTCAAATATGTGAAGTATTAAAGACTTTTCTCAAGTAGCATACAACAACAAACAACCTCTCTGAGTTTTGGACTGAAGTAAAAATGAAAATAAACCAAACTTTAGAAACAAAGTTCTAAATATTTACAAAGTATTGAAGAATAATTCTTGTAAAGACATTTAAGGCCAGTGACTGTTGTAAAATCAGAACCAACACGTGCCACTAGGGGGCAGAGTTCAACCTGTGTTCAGACACAGCCTCCACATGGAGATACTGCAGCATCCTAAAACCTTGAACATGTCACAGCTTCAACTCTGACCTGCTGGTGTGTGATTTCATTCTGATCTCATACCTGTAGCTCCACTCCGTAGCCGGTGTACACGGTGACTGTGTAGGTGCAGTGCAAAAAGACAGCATCGGGCAGAGGTGGGTTGTCAGAGGAGTCTATGTATCCCTCTGCATCTGTGAAATTCACCATGCAGCTAGATGCAGCTGAAGAAAAAGCAGATGAGTTCATTTGGTGTTGGCCTGATTGTTTTTCTCTGCTCTGCCTCATTATCCTTTACAGTGAACTTGATGAAAACTCAGAGGAAATCCCTGCTGCCAATAATTAAGAAGTGAAATCCCAAGGATTGTAACCACTAACACAGCACACAGACTCAGTGAGGACTCATGAGTGTTAACACAAATGTGGTATAAAAAATTACTTTCTCATTTCCTCCAAGATTTTTCAAAAGATCTGCATTAATCAGAACCTTTATTACTTTGTTTTCTCTTGATGTTTTCTCCCTTGTACTGCATATCAAGCCTAATAATTGTTTTAATTTCTGTGTACTTTGGCGAATAACGTTTAATTTTCTTCAAGTGAAAAAGCTGTTTTGATAAGTTCTTTCATGATGTTGATATTTTTTACCCTAATTTCTAAACTGAAGTACAGAAGTCAAATTCAGATGAACTTTAAGCATCAAAAGTATTTTGAACTTTAAGCATCAAAAGTATTTTGATGCTTAAAGTATTTTGTCCAGAGTATTTTGACTCTCAGAGGAGTCAACGAGGGAGACTCCAGAAATGATCTTGGCACCATCAAACTGGTTGGTCCACTATGTGAGTGTGCTGCCTGTGGGACTGAGTTTGTTGTGGCACCTCAGACTGATGAAGTCCTTTGGATGAAGGACGAAACGTTTCAACACAAAGAAACTGCCCAGAGGACCTGACTTAACTTTGTTGGCATCAAAAGTATTATTTTCAGCAGATATTGGTAATCTGCAGCTACTCCAAATGTTAACCAGCTGTATTAAGGGGAGAAACTTTTTTTGCTTTGCCTTTTGGTGGTAAAAGATGATGAATACAAAGAAGACAAACAGTCTAAACTAGTCACAAAAGAAAAGGCAAAACTAAGTCTCTCCTAGGGTGATGATCATTTTAAAATCTCATCCCAAACATCATTTTCCCTGTAAATCCTCAAACAAGAGGGATATTCTTGTTGATAATAATAAAAATTAATCACAGCCTTTTATCTAAATTGTTAAACTGTTGTTTCAACTTGAACCCAATTCAACTAACAATTGGAAAACACAAAAACAGCAACAACTCAGTCATTTTTACTGTTGTGCTACAGTTTGGCACACTTGTAGCTGAGTTATCCACATTACATATACTTTAAATGCTACTCATTGCACAAGACCTTTGAACCATTTCCATTTTGGCAACAATGAATGCAGCACACCAAATGAAATATTATATTTATAAAAATTTGTTTCAAGACACACAAGAGACACAGGGGCAGCTGCGGCTGAGTGGGGCGGCTGTGGCTGAGTGGTTAGAGCAGTTGTCCTCCAATGCAAGAGTTGGGGGTTCAAATCCACCAGCAGTCACATGCCGAAGTGTCCCTGGGCAAGACACTGAACCCCTCATAGCCTCCGATGTGTGTCCCATCAGTGTTTGAATGTGATAAAGCTCTGATTAGTCTCTTTAGAATGATTTGTTCAATTAGCTTTGTAGAGATCTAGTAGAGTGCTGTGTGGATGGGTAAATGAGGACACAGATTGTAGTGTAAAGCGTTTTGAGTATCTTGAAATAAGATAGAAAGGCGCTATATAAGTACAGTCCATTTACCATTTACAAAGACATATGCATACCGTACTTCTTTTAAGAACAAAGCTTCTACGAACACATTTAGTTTCAGTTAAACAAAGATTGAAATGTTGATTCAACATCTACAGGTACCTGGTGAGGGTATTTCAGTGTCTGTGTCCACGTCCAGCACGGTGCTCGCAGTTGTGATCTCAGCTTCTGGCTCCGGCGTGTGAGCCCGTGTGTGTGGCAGCTCAGACGGTGAGTCTGTGGATGGAGGTTGACTTGGTTGGCTGCCTTGGCTTGACCCTTTAGCCAATTCTAGGAACTTTACCCTTGTCAGAATTTTTTTGCTCTGATGCTCCAAAGCATGACTTTCATAAAGGGAGCTGACACTGAGTCCTCGGCCCAGAAGAGGGAGCAGATTCTGGGGCAGAGCCAAGGGGAGAGTCTCTACTTTTCTGGATACAAGTCGTCCTTTTTGAGCCAGCACAGAGTGTAGCAAACCTCCTGCTGAGACACTGGCACTGCTGCCCTTCGTACTGCCATCCCTCGTGTTACTTTGTGGCACCACCAAAGACTGTGCTGAGGGGGAGACTTCTTTCTCTGAGGAAGGAAAGCAAGAGATACATGTCACAGGTGGAAAACAAACAAAAGACCAAGCTTGCATTTCCTGCAAAAACCTTTTGTTGCTACAACTTGCTAAGAAACTGAAACTGAGTTCAAACTAAAAGTAGAACACCAGCCAAACACCAAAAATAGCAAAACACTGTAAACTTTGCAAAAGGTTGATTAAAAGCTAAATAATTAAAAGGAGAGCTAAAACTAAAAACAACAACAACAACAACAACAATAGAATAGTTAAAAACTCTAAGTAAAGCAGATGTGTTAAAAACAAAAAGCTTGTCAAAAACTAAAAATAGTAAAAGTATAGCTAAAAGGTAAATGTGAGAAGTTTAAAAATTAAGCTAGAAAAGTTTAAAAATGTTAATTAGAAGCTAAATGAGCAGCTAGATATTATAAAGTAGCAAATGACAAGCTAAAAGCTAACAGTAGCAAAAGGCTGGCTAAAACCTAAAAATATCAAAAAGCTAAACGTACCACAACAATACCTTAGAGCTAAAATTAGCAAAAAGTCTGGCTAAAAGCTAAACGTAACAAAACGTTAAAAGTAGTAGAAGACAAAAATAGAGCAAGCATGCTGAAGCTGATTTCGAAGAGAACATTTCTGAAGGAATTCAACAGACCTCAGTTTATTGCTACATAATATTTGTCAATATTTTTAATTATTTAAAAACTATTAAAGTTGCAAAAATCAAAGCCATAGCTCTCATCTCCTGAAAGAGTTGAATATTTTCATGACTGGCTACAATAGCACAAAGTATGCCAAGGTAGTGAGATAAACAATGTACAGCAAAATTAAAACAGGAGAACAGTGTTGTGATTCCAAAATCAGCCTTCACTGAAGACGAAACTAAACATTGTTGTTTCCAGATGGTTCTGTCCTGTTCTGATGGTCTGTACAGAGATGATCTACACTGTGCAGCCACAGTCCAGCTGAGCTTACCTCAGTGTTTCTAAAAAAGTTAAATCTGGTCCTCTGGACATTCAAAAAAACAAAAAAAACAAAGCAAAACAACAAAAAAAATGTAGAAACGTTTCGTCTCTCATCCGAGAGACTTCCTCAGTCTGAGGTGCTGTATTCAGCTCAGTCTCTTAAATAGCACCTTTTCTGAGTGGATCAACCAGTTTTGCTGCTGACAACCAAAACCAGCTGATCACATGCTCAAGAAGGACCATCAGCCTAACAATGGATCATTAGCACACTGATGGCTGTTTACTATTCACAGAGGGCTGAGTGATACTTGCAATCACAGCATTGTAAGAGGGGGACAATTGAACACGTAGGCCTCCACCCCTGTTTAACGATGGACGATTTCTTTTCACAAAGATGGCCTCCTTTACTCCTCTCTCAAACCATCCATTACCTGGATTATTGAGCATGCATCAGGATATTACCTCAGTATTCAACACACAAAATATGGATCATGCACACATCAACACCAACAGAGGATTGTGCAGAAACAAGGCAGTTAGGCATGACAGGAATTAAGCAAAGAAGAGGGAATTGTGTAAAAAGAAGAAATGCAACGACAGGCAAAACGTTCTGTTGTGCATTTTAAAATGCCATCTCCTGCAGCTTAGTTCAGAACAGCACACAGCAGCACTTACACACACTGTGTGCACATTTGTACCTATACTCACATCTTCCTTCCCAACACCACAGGCAGCCACATTTCAGCTGAGAAAATAACCTTAAGTGCCGGATTTTCCCGTCATTTAAAAACTTCTCAAAGAGAAACATGAAAAGCTGGAGGAACATTGTCATCAGTTAACTGGACAGAAAAACAGATACCCCCTGTGCTGTCAAAGAGGCAGGAGGTTTTTGTGTTTCGCTAAGACTGATCCCAAACACTTATTCTGAGCACTAACAGAACGCACAATATCTTTGTTTAAAGTGTTGCTATGTGGGATCAACTCTGTCTGTTAGCAAATTATCTCATGAACCACTGGACAGACTTCAGAAAGTAATCATCGGATGAACATCCACAAGTTTGGAGTCAGTCGAGTTCAAATTGGCTACCACAGCTAAGTGACATTTAAAATACAAAAAAGGTTATAACTCAGTGAAGTTTACAGTTATTGAGCTAAAATGTGATGGGTCGTAGGCGAGTCATACACAACACATACTCTAAAGGTGTTTTTTTGAATTAGTTTGTCCATGATGTTCTTTTCAAGCTTAGACTAAAATGACTAGCTCAATCTTTTCTTGATAAAAGACGATCTAAGTTTAACAATCGATGTCTCCCATCGCTGAGGAATTTGATTAGTGAATGTTTTCAGTTTGTGAGATGAATGCTTTTTCTGTGCTGGAATTGAACAGGAAACAAGTAAACTTTCATGATTTTGCTGTTACATATTCAAGTCGGTAGGAGTTAGACTGTGTATGAGGATGGAGGAAGGTTTTTTCTTTCTGTTTTTTTTTTTTTTTTACTTTTTCTTGTCCATGTGGTGATATTGCCCCTAGTGGTGTGTCTCTGTCCTGTCTCTGTCCTGTTTCCTCTCATGTGATTTCCCTTTTCCCACACCTGTGAGCCTGACAGGTGTTTTGTGTTTTGTCCTCATCAGTGTTTGTATATAAGTCTGTGTCTTAGTGTTATTCCTTGTCTGGGCATCATCTTGTATTCTCCTGGTAATCCTCCTGAGTCCCTAGTGTTTTCCTGAGTGCCTCCTTGTGATTTTCTACGTGTAAGTTTTGCTGCCTCGACAGCTGTTTATTTTTGTGTTATTAAAAGTGTTTTCTTATTTTACCACCGAGTCTACCGAGTCCTGCCTGCATCCTTGGGTTCTACCTTTAAAAAACATCCATCACGACAGTATGCCCAGACCACAACGAGAAGGTGGATGTGCTGTGCAGGCGGATGACTTGGGCCTAATACCGGGCCCAAGAAGCAGCTCGGACGACCCGGTGGGAGCAGGCGCGGATGGAGGAGCCTGTCATCCGATGGGGCGGGTTACGGACCGAACCCGTCCAGAGACAAGGTCACCGCAGCCCGGAGGTTGAGATCCTGCTGTCACCTCTTCTGGTGGAGGAAGGGGAAATGAGGTCTCTGCTCCGGGGGAGCCACCTGGCTTTTAAACCAGCTTCTTCCTCCACCCTGCCACCCTGCAGCGGCACCTGCTGTGGTCTTCGGAGGACGACGCTGAGCTGGAGGATGAACTCTGGTGCGCTGCTGTCCTCAGCTCACGCCCCCACCGCAGGAGGAATAAGCGGCAAAGATGGGTCGGAACTCGGAACCACCGATCTCCAGCTCCAGCCTTTAACCTGCTCTCCCGCTGTGCAGCCTAAAGCACCGGGGAGAATTTCAAAGGGGGAGGAGCAGTCAATCCCCCGCTCGTCAGTGGAGCAGACGAAGGGGGTGGGGCGCAACCGAAAAGAAAGCCCATTCAGCTTCTTCCCGAGTCCTCTGTTAAATCCCTTCAGGACCAGTCATCCTTCTCAGATAAGTCATCTCCTTAATCTATTGTTTTAAATGACACACTACAAAATCTGCTTTTTTTCCGTTAAACTGAACCCGAACTATCAGAGCACTATTTATTCCCTAGCGGAAGAATTATTACTGTCTCAGCCTGCAATAATGCAGATCCCAGAGTTCCATCAATTACTCATTAACATAAGGACTTTCAAAGAACAGTTTAAACACCATTCTCTCTCCAGCCATACTGTGCCACACCAGAACCCACACGAACCTCCTGCTCCTTGTGTCTCAGAGAGGGTCCAGGAGGTCACCTCTCACACGTCCTCCAGTGCTTCAGTAGGGGTAGGACCCGACGCCCCAACTCCTTCCTATGCTTTGGTGGGGGGCTAGTCCCAATACCCAATTCTCCAGTGCTTCAGTGGGGGTAGGACCCGGCGCCCCACCTCCTTCCTATGCTTCGGTGGGGGCTGGCCCCAATGCCCCATCTTTCTGTGCCTCTGTGGGGACTGGTTCTGACACCCCATTTGTTGGGATCTCTATAATGGTGGGTCCTGACACCTCGTATCGCACCAAGCCTCCAGTGGGCCCCAAGCCTCCAGTGGGCCCCAAGCCTCCATCACCTGCTGCTGCAGTCCCATCTCTGGTTCCTAGTTCTGCTGCTGCAGTACCGTCTCTGGTTCCTGGTTCTGCTGCGGCAGTCCCGTCTCTGGTTCCTGGTTCTGCTGCTGCAGTCCCACCTCTGGTTCCTGGTTCCGCCTCCAAGATGGCCGCGCTCAGAGCAGATGCAGCTTCACAGGCTCCCGGTACCATCCCAGTTTTTAGAAGTTTTGATATTGACTCTGTGCCTGACTCTGCGCGATTTATGCGTGTGAACTATAGCCGAACCGAACTGATGAGAATAGGAGCGGATTTGCCACGAAATATAGCAGAAATCAGCAACAAACTCAAAGCTACGCTCGGCAGAATGCAGATCTTAAAGTCATATACCTGGAAGCTGCAGCAGAGGCGTTCCAGCGGGCAGAAGAGGAAGCGCTGCTCCCGGCTTAAGAGGAGAGGATGCCGGGCGGGGGTTATGGTGAGGCTACGAGCTAACGCTAAAGCCGGTAAACTCCCCATGCCGTCTCTCTTTCTGTCGAATGTCCGCTCGTTGGACAACAAGATGGATTTACTTCGTCTGAGAGCGGGCGCCTCAGAAGAGATGAAGAAGTGTGCAGTACTTTGCCTCACGGAAACGTGGATTACAAGTGAAACGCCGGACTCAGTCTTCCAGCTGGATGACAGACTTTTATTTCGAGCGGACCGCTGCAGCGAGCTAACGGGGAAATCACGGGGGGGCGGAGTATGCATTTACGTGAGTAAAAGTTGGTCCACGAACTGTACTGTTGTAAATAGCTCATGCTCGAAGGCTTTGGAGCAAATAACAGTGAAATGTCGGCCACATTATCTACCCCGAGAGTTCACGGTGACTTTCATCTCTGTCGTTTACATTCCTCCGGACGCTAATGCTAATGAATCACTGCAGGAGCTTCATGATATCATCAGCTCGCTGCAGAACAAACACCCCGA